AGAAGAAAAGAATGATAAAATTATTTGTTATATTCTTGATCAATTTTTGTAAGGGTAGAATTCTGTATCTGTATTCATAATAGAAGATTTTTTAAAATAGTATTTTTAGCTACTTGTCTGTATATATTTTGCCAACTCTATCCCTATTCCTTCATTGAAACTTTGATTTCTATGTCTATGTTATTAAACCTAAGCTGTGGACCAGCTTTCTAAAATGATCTAGGAATGGACCAAGATTAGAGAAAAAAGACTGATAAGTGCTGTAATATCTGTAAATTGTAATGCGTTTCCTGGTGCCTATTGTAGTATTCTTAGCTATTAACATGGTCAGAAAGTTTCCTCCTTTTCTGTCCTATCTCATGTACGATTCTGAAAACCTCCAATTAATATACAATAAGCTAAGATACAGTAGTAAAAAACAAAGTATCTGTCTCAAATATATTTTGTAGTTCTAACACTGTCTAACAAAGAAAAAAAGACAAAAGAAGCAGTCTGGCATTGGGATATTAAGCTCACATCTACTGTATTAGAAACACCAGAAATGATAAATATACTGCAAAGCTCAAAAGGAAAGAGAATTACTGGAAGGAAGCAATGACAAGCAACATGTGAAACAGAATTACAGCTTATTTAACCAGATTACTCAAATGCCTTTTTCCTTCTGCATGAAAAAACTATTGAATGTTTGGCCAATGAAATATATCAGTAAAGTGTCCCCACAGACCCTAAACTGTACTGAAACTCATCAGCTTTAAGATTTCCACACTTCCGCTCTACTTTTCTACCAGCTTAAAGTAACTGCAGTTCTTTTGTCTACCAAGAGGATATAACGGCTTGGTAGGTTAGGAAGGCCCTTCAGGAATCAGCAGCTAAGGACAACTGCACAGTGCAATCTTTAATTGAAAGATGCAGTGCCTTAGTATAATAACCACTATCAACTTCTGGAATTCTCAAAAATCCAATAGATGACAAATAAAAATGACTGTCATGAATATTTTAGCAGAAACTACCCAAAGAGAAATCCAAGCAGGATTTCTGTATTGCCAAGGTGATAAGATTCTTATTTTCATGAGAAACTTTTAGTGAACAGTTTAACTTTCTTTTTTTGTTCCTGTTTGATTGCTGCTTTAGTTCTGGATACATTTATGAAACACACACTCTTTTAACATTTTACCTAATAACTAGGACCCCACTTGAATTCTTGTTTTTCCTCCTCCTCTGCTTCTTCTGAAAATTATGTCCTCTCTGAAAAAAAGCCTTTGCATCATCACTCTTTCCTGTTTCCTTTGTGGCAAAAATTATCATGATGATCCTAGCATTCATGGGCATCAAACCAGAATCCATAATGAGGTAGTGGATAAGAAAAAAATTGTCAATTTATATTGTTCTTTCCTATTTTCTTATGAATCAAGTAATTCTATTGCATATTAGGCGATTTTTCTTTCATCAGTGAAATACTCTACCTTTGTCTGTCAGAAAACTACCTGACACTTTCAATGAAGCCAATATTTTGATACTTTGCAAAGCTTAGTTATGCTTTGTTCTAGCAAGTGGAAAACACATGATTGCTAGAGATATTTTGTCCATCTCAACTTCAAGTGCAGGGATAGTAGATTTCCCTTCTACCTCAGTTATGTGTTATGATATGACATGAATTGAATAAAGATGAATAGATTCATGGAAATAAATTATCCTTTATCAAAAATGTTCATATCAGAAAGTCTGTGTAAGTAGCAGTACTTTCTCAAATTTGCCTGTGTCACTTAATTATGCATGTTCAAGTTTTCTTAATATTTCAAAGAGGTACCCTAAGGAAGATTATGGCTGATTAACACAGTGAGATTTTTTTTAAAAAATAGCTGCAGAATAGAATGATAACCCACTCTCCTAAGATTGGACTAGATGACCTCCAAGGTCCCTTCCAATTCTGTTATTTTATGCTCTATGCTTCTATTGTGACCAAGAATAATATATTTCAATTTTATTTGTTTGGTTGTTACATTTAAATGTGCTCTTGCTATACAATTCTTTGCAATTCAGAAAGCAAAGCAAAGTCAATCATAAGAAAACAAAACAATTTTAAAACAACCCAAAACAAGTTCTGCTGGCACTTTGATATAAACACCCCTAAATTTCTTCTCCAAATAAAGGGAAACACATCAACACAAACCCCAATCCAAACTATCTGTCTACCAACCTCAACCTTCTCACAGATGCTTTGTGGTCCTTCAACTGGTAAAAAAAAATGTCAATTTTGAATTAGGCCAAAATAGCCTTTCCTAACTGAGTGAAAGAGAAAATACTTGCTGAACTGTAAGGAACACAATTTCTCTAGCAATTCCATAAGGAATCAAGCTGTGTCTTAATAATTAACTTCCTATTCAGGAGTCTAAATAACTACATTTAATTCTCCTCTTTTTCCAAACCCCTGTGGATATGCCCAATAGCAAAACTTTTTACTGTGAGATAATTGCTTCTTCACCTTTGATATATATACAAATAATACCATTTAGAGGGGGAGAGTATGGGCAGGTAAGATCAACTATATCTATGCAGGATAGTCTAAGGTTCAGATTTTTCTAGCAGATAAAAGTCAAGTGAAGCAGCATAAATCATAGAAATGTTAATAGTTATGCCTTAAGAGGAAAAAAAAACCCACAAGATTTTTGACTAATGTCTGGTCCTGAGAATGGCAATTTTATTGGTCTTACTACTGGTATTGCTTCCTCATATGGTGTGCAAGACTCACAGATGCAGCATCAGTAATCCACACTTGCCATACCACAGGTACCATCAGCTAGGAGACCTTATGATTGGTGGCATTGTTTTTCAAGCTAGCATCTTCAGCGACACAGTCACCTTCATTCAATTCCCCCCACCAGCATTGCCAGGAAACTTTGTGTAAGGAATGAAATCACTGCTTGCTAATACTTCCAGGCTTTTGATCCCTGGAATAATCAAATGTAGCACTGCCATATAGAATAATCCCTGATTAGCTTGAGCATCATAAAAGAGATGCTTAGGAAAGCTGTTATTGTGAATACAAGAAAATAGAAAGAAAATAGGATAGTATATATTCCAATATTGAAAGCAGCATTCCCCAAACAAGGGCCACCTAAAGTGTCATTACCAGAATTCTCAAAAAAGCCCATTCTGGTTGGGGAATGCTAGGAAATGCAATTTATGCAGCTTAAAGATCCCCAGATTGAGGAGAACTAGTTTAAAGCTCTTGTACTGTTCTGTTCCTTTTTCGATGCTTGTCTTACCAACTCTCTCATCATGACAGTTTCTCCCCTCTTCATGCTTTGGACTTTGTCTACTCACATATGTCTTCCAGTTACATTAGTCCATAAAATTTCCCTCATTTTTAATTTTTAAAAAAATAAGCAATTGAAATTTCACTTATACCTTGAAGGAAAGATAAATAAATCCATTTCTCATATCCTGTATAATCCTTAATAAAAGACTATAAATTTTATTATTTTGATATAGCACTGTCTTTAAACTTGCCAGATAGGGGACATTGCTTTATCACTCCTCAGAGACACCCCCACTTAGATCATTCCAAGTTTTTTTTCTATAATATCATGGGTGTTTCCAGAAACTGAATTTACAATAGTCCTTTTCTAATGGAATGCACTCTTATGTGGACTTCAACTTGTACCATTTCCTTCCTGCATCACTCTGCTATTTGGTGAGTCGAAACCCAGAGCTGAAATTCATCACTTTAGTATCTGTCTGGGGAAGGTTGATCTAGAGTTTGTATTACTAATTAGAATTATTTCCCAAATATTGTGCTTCATCACTGTTTTCCTTTTGAAAAATATTGGGTGATAATTTAGAGATTTAATCCTCTTTCATAATAAAATAACACACACTCACACAAATACACACACACATCAGGGATCTTTGCAGAGTTAAAAGATAGCAATTTGAATATCTATCCCTGCAAATGCCACTATTGTTGAATTTTGAGCTCTTTTCAGACTTCTCTATCTCTCTCTGTCTCATTTTTTTTTCCTTCAGAAACATCTTACACTACTTTCAGTGTTGTCCTGTTTATTCTTCTGATTTAACATATTTTGAAAGAATACTTTCTATATGAGTACATTTATTGCTTACATTTTTTATATTTAAAAAGATAAGTTGATGTTTGTTATCCTGAACTGTGCCTTTTCTTTTCAATATTACAAAATTGAAATATAAATTACTTGGTAATCAAGTTTCATGAAGGTTCTCAGTGTTACATGCTTGTGTGCACAACTATGTGTATGTCCATGTTAAATGCATATGTTGAACTATGCTGGATCACAGTGTTAATTTTGAGTTGCCATATTTCAAAAAGACCTACTACCAGAACAGGGGAGTGTCTCGTACCATGAATTTGAACAAATATTTTGTTTAGCGATACTCAACTTTTTTAAGTAAGTAAATTTATAACTTCATATTTATCCACTTATTAGTGATATGTTAGATTAAAAGAAAAATCTATACAGTATAGACATTTAAAGAATGGATACTTGTATTATTGGAATGTGAACTTCAATGCAAAATTAATTTCAAATTCTTTACAAATGTATGCACACTGGGCAAAATTGCTAAGAAAAGCACAAAATGCATTTTTGATGAATATATTTTAAAAATGTATTTTTAACAAACATTCAGAGAATGTGTGTATATTTTTAAAAAGCAACTTCTAAGTAATATGGTAATGGATAACCAAACCTTATATACAAAAATCTCAGAGAACCCCAAATCAATATTTATATGGAAATACTAATTTATATGGAAGAGGCTCTGTCATTATATATTATCCATTTTTGGACTTGAAAGTCAAAATATTGCAAGGTTTTCACTCACATGAAAGCCACTCCACTGTATCTTAACAACATACACATGTGGCTACTTGTTTACAATGTCAGAGAAATGGTCCAATGTTTCTATTTCAATCATTCTTATCTAGAAACCAGAAGTAGTTTAATATAGAATAGCACTCTCATATGAAGCACAAATCTCATTGTAGCTTAATTCCTAAGAATTACCAGCACATCCTGGCTTTGGAATTTGCTGTGAAGGAGATCAATGAAAACCCACAGATTTTACCCAATCTCACCTTGGGCTTCCGCATCTATGACAGCTATGACAAGGCTCAGAGCACCTATCATGCCACCATGTTGCTTGTATCATCCATGGAAAGATTGATCCCCAACTACATATGTAACATCCAGAATAGCGCAATAGCTGTTGTTGGGGGACTGGATGCCCATATCTCCCTTCATGTGGCCACTATCTTGGATATCTATAAGATTCCACAGGTAAGATACTTTATACACAAATTTAATAATGTTTTCAACTCCTTGAATATTCTCAGTTGTACTGCACTCTAAACTATAGTTGAGTATTTCTGTATTTCCAACAGTCATAGTATCATAAGTAACCCGTATGAACTGCAATCTTTCATATATTTACTTGCAGTTATGCCCACTGAATTCATGGCATATGTACTTGTAAAGACATTAAGAGATGTTGAACTAGACTTTTAATTACTGCATGACATTAATTGCTTTTTGTTGCATTTAATTTCTATATAACAGGCCTGTTCTATTTATTGTAAGTCGATGAACAGAATTATTCAATAAGAATTATTCTGATTCTGATTCTTTCTCTTATTAAGAGTGCAGGCTCAGAAGGTATATTTTATGCACTGGATACAAACTAGTTAGCTATTTTCACATAACCTGCCAGCTTAAACTAAAACCAGATGGGTAGTTCATGGTTCAGTGTGTAATGGAAAAGCCAAACATTAGCTTATCATACTGTGTGAGCCAAGCCATTACATTAAGCAATAATATAATTTATTTAGTTGGATAAAGCATGTTTCATGAGTAGAGCAATTTTACCGACACTAACAATTGCTTAATTGTGTTAACCTAGTCCTTTAGTTTCAGTGAGATCCATAAGAAATCAAAGCAAGAGTAAACAAAATTCCAAATAAGCCTACATATAATGATATCTACCCACAACTACAAGTGCTTCTGAAGGTAATTGTTTAAATATATTTCACTTCAGATTCAGACTTGAGAATAACGTAGAAACAGCTTTGGTACACTGAAAGTGATCTCTGAAAGAAGCAGAAGATGGACAACGTGTCCTAGATCAGACTTGTGGATATCTCAGTGGTGATTAGTACCACTAACTAGGGTTTTTTCTGGAATGCCTTTGAGAATGCAAGATAGACTGCATGGTTTTCTCATGATATTGCTCCTATCTCAAGGATGGGTTTCAGAAAGTACTACTGGGAGATTCTGTTCTATTCCATATTGATTATGTATAGAAAGCTATAGGAATCAATTTTGCTCCCTATACTATTTAGGAAGCCACTGGTATGATCATCAAGTACTGTGGGGGAGGTGTCTCAATGTAGGTACCAGAATAACATACTTGGAAGGGACCTTGGAGGGCTTCTAGTCCAACTCCTGCTCAAGCAGAAAACCCTATACCATTTCAGACAAATGGTTATCCAATCTCTTCTTAAAAACCTCCAGTGTGGGAGCACCCACAACTTTTGAAGGCAAGTTGTTCCACTGATTAATTGTTCTGTCAGGAAATTTCTCTTTAGTTCTAAGTTGGTTCTTTCATTGATTAGTTTCCATCCATTGCTTCTTGTCCTGCCTTCAGTGTTTTGGAGAATAAGTTGACCCTCTCTTCTTTGTAGCAGCCCCTTAGATATTGGAACACCACTATCATATTATTCCTGGTCCTCTTTTCATAATAACAGATCATCAGGAATGCTAAACTTTGTGCTTTGGTCCTTTTGCGTTGGATTGTGGTTTGCATTGGTAGGATAGATTGAAAATGAATCTAGGCAAGCCTAATAGTGTGCAGATCACAAGGTTATTGTCAATCAATAAGTTCATCTGTCCCAAATGGAAGTATTTTTCCTACATAAATCATGTTTACAATTTAAGAAAAATCCTAGACATTCTTCTATCCCTTTGCATTCAAATCAGTATAGTGGCTTGTATCAATAATAATCTGTGGATAGCTGCACCCCTTTCAATCAGGGGTGCAGCTAGGTGACTAATGGTTACCATTAGTCACCTACAGAGTATGTATTTCCCATTTAACCAAATGCAATGGGCTCTTCCTTGAAATATGTTTAAAGGAATTACAGAAATTAATAGATCCAAATTTGTCATCATTGGAAGCATAAAATATCTTTGTCAGTTAACTGCGCTGGATTTCACTTGTTCGCCATTCCAAATTTAAGGGATTTCTCATTACATTTAAATCAATTTATGGCTGTGTAGAGCCAGTCTGGTGTAGTATAGTGGTTAAGGTAAGGCACTGGGCTAGAAACCAGGAGACTGTTATTTCTACTATCATCCTGGGCATGTGACCTTGGTGTAGCTACTCTCTTTCAGCCACTCTCTTCCACTACCTAGAAAGGAGGCTATGGCAAACTACTTCCAAAAAACCTTGCCAAGAAAATTGCAGGGACTGGTTTAGACAGTCACCAACAGTCAAAAACTGCTCAAGTCTCTTCTACTTGAATGAATGGTTTTCTTGCATTCTATTAACTGGATGTTGCTTAAGAGTACATATAAATGAACTAAGCAAATAAATGCAATTTCATACTGAACGATTTGAAATGCATTAAATTAAATGTCTTCTTTCCTTTAGTCTGTATATCAAAAATCTGCATTGCTGATATTATCTTATCCTTTATACAGTATATGCTGTACAAAATATGCATACTATGTGTATATTAATAATATGTGTACACATTCTTTCTTGCTTATATAACATTTGTATAATATTAGGTTGTTTTATTTTTTTTCATGATACATTAGGAGCTTAAATTAATTAGTAGAGATACAAATCTTCCAAGATTCAAGTTGAGATTCAGTTTAATAAAAGATTTTGTGTAGATACAGCTACATTTGTTTTATTTTGTAGCAGAATGGGGAAAAATGGCAAGGATAATAGATCCTTTAGAAAATAATAAACCTGCACATTTTTAATCAAGTATTCCCAATGGGTATATGGCAAAACATTTTTGGAACTATTTTCCCATTTTAAGACAAAAATAGCACAGATAAGAAAAGGACAGCATAGCAGAAAATCTTCTCAAACTGAGAAAGTAAATAAATAAGACTGTTTGAAAAATTAAATTCTTATTAAAGATTGAACAATCTGATATTGTCCAATCACTTCCTGACATTAGTATGGAAAAACTGTTCTGATTTTTTTTTTTTTTTTTGCTTCTGTATCAATTTAAAAAAGTCTGGAAGTTCACCCCAATCATTATTGCATATAGGCATCTACTGGAGGTGTAAAGTTGGCAAGTAATGAAATATGGATCGAAACATCACCACACAAGCTCCATCCTTCACATACATATGTGTATGCGATATTATAATACAGTTAAGAAATGGCAGATCTTGTCCTGTGATGTCCTGAAACAGATGGTTTTTTTTATTCTGGTATTACCATATTTGGGGATAGTATGCCCTATCAGTTGTATAATATGTAAAGAAGCAGCCTGTGTTATATGCAATTGCAGCAAGTCCATAAGTTCACATCTACACACACAATGATGAAGGCTCACTTGGGCCACAATAAGACAAGTCAGAAACAGACAAATAATAGAAAGAAAACATTTTTTGTTTGAGAGGAGAGCACAGAAAATGAAACTGGGGAGTAATGAGTCTACAGATTGGATAGAGTCAACAGGGCAAGCTAAAGACCAAACAATAGATTGAGAAATAAAGAAAGACAAGAAATAAAAGGGTGTGGATTTAAAGATGAACAGACCATCCACATAAAAAATATCAAATTTACTTACTTACTTACTTACTTACTTACTTACTTACTTACTTACTTACTTGCTTGCTTACTTACTTACCTACCTACCTACCTACTTACTTACTTACTTACTTACTTACTTACTTACTTACTTACTTATGAACTAACTTATTTATAAAAGTGCCTGCTTTGACAGCACATGTACTTTTTTTTTTTTAAATGTTACAGGATAAATAAGTGACACAAAAAGTCTTTTGCCATACATTCTAATTGTATAGAAAGACATTGGAAATAATGCTTAAGGTATTAGGAACCTGGAAACCCCCTGAAGCTTCAAATCATAACCATTTCCAAGGCACTTGATTCAATACATCATCTTGAATTACCCAAACATTCAGATGATAGAATAACAGAGTGGGGAACAGGCCTTGGAGGTCATCTAGTCCAATTCCCTACTCAATCAGGAGACCGTATACAATTTCTGACAAGTGGCTGTCAAGTCTCTTCTTGAAAGCCTCCAGTGATGGAACACCCACAACTTCTGAAGGCAAGCTGTTCCATTGATAGATTGTTCTTGCTATCAAAAAATTTCTCCTTATTTCTAGGTTGAATCTCTCATTGATCAGTTTCCATCCATTGTTCCTTGTCTGGCCTTCAGATTCTTTGGAAATAAGTTGTCCTCCTCCTCAAATTTGGAATATTGCTATCAATTTACCTCTGGTCCTTCTTTTCACTAGTCTAGCCATGCCCAGTTTTGACTGAATGCCCAGTATTTAATTTTAAGCAATTATTAATTCTAAAGCAATCCTCCTGATTTCACATAGAAATAGTAATATAGAAAATGTAGAGGATCTTCAGACATTATTTGCATTACCAGTGTTTAAGATTGCTTTATACGACTGATGTAACTGTCACTATTATCATCTACAGTATGTAGCTTGTTATGACAATCTGAAAATGCTGTACAGCTTTGATTATTATTTTGTCTTCCATGTCTCATCAGCTCATTTATGGCTCCACTCCACTGATGAATGATAAAACTCCAGGCCTTTCTTTTTACCAGATGGTTCCACCAGAAGCCCTTCAACATGCAGGGATGGTCTCACTGCTTCTGCATTTTAACTGGACCTGGGTTGGGCTCCTTGCAGTGGATAGTGAACATGGAGAAGAAATTATTCGAAATGTGGTTCCACTTTTTGCCAAAAAAGGAATATGTTATTCTTTTATTGAAAAACTCCCAAAATATAATGATGTAAGTGGATTGCATGGTATGATTAATCAGGCAGCAAAAGTATATGAGCTTATCATGGACAATAAAAATAACGTGACAATTGTCTTTGGAGAATCTACCACCACGGGGACTTTGAGATGGTTCACGTATCTACCCAAAATTGAAGAGGTGACAAGTAAACCAAAAGGAAGTGTATGGATACTGAATGCCCAGATTGAGTTTACTTCATCAGCATTTCAACACAAATGGGACACAGAAATAATCAATGGTGCTCTTTCTTTCACAATGCAAACAGTTGACCTACCAGAATTTAAATCATTTCTTAAGAAAAAAAATCCCTTCATCTCCAAAGAAGATGGATTTATCAATCTGTTCTGGCAAGATGTTTTTGCCTGTGTTTTGCCTGATATAGTTACGAGTGATGTACCTGAGGCTATTTGTAATGGGACAGAGAATTTAGAGACCCTTGCTGGACCTTTTTTTGAAATGAAAATGACCGGTCACAGCTACAGCATCTATAATGCTATTCATTCTTTAGCTCATGCTTTACATGTCATGTCCTCCTCAAAACATCAAAGAAGAGGTATGACAGACAGAATAGGAGGAGAGATCCATAAAAAAGACTTTTGGCAGGTAATGGACCCAATGTCCTTATTTGGTTGCATATTTGTATAATGGCAGGAGTGATCTCCATTTCCTTAATTCCTGTCCCTCACAAATCTCACATGGATCTGTATTTGTATGTGTAACTGTTTGACTCTGAAAATCATGCAGATTTTAATTTATTGGATCCTGTTGTTTTTATTTTAAGTAGCATTCAAATGATAAAAGAGTGGTTAGCAAAATCTTAGTGGAATCCATTATCTTTCATCTGTCCTGTCATACTAATTTTCTTCCAATAATCCTTATAAATTATACTCTCAACTCTTCTTTTTTTAATTCTAGTAAAAAGAGAAGTAACATACATAGAATGCAACTATATATCCAGTTGTGTCTTCTGAAAATTACTATCATGGAGAGGAATAATTTAACTCTTCCAAAACTCTTGCGTTTTCCTTTTGATTTAGCTCCATTACTTTCTGAGAACTGTATCTTTTAACAACAGTGCTGGAAAGCTTGTTTCATTTGATCAGAATGGGATAGTAAAAGGTGGATTTGATGTTATCAACTGGATTTTTTTCCCAAACCAATCATTTATTCGAGTAAAAGTTGGAAATATAGATCACTTAAATCCTTCAGATGAAATGTTACCCATCAATGATGAAAACATTATGTGGCACAAATGGTTTAATCAGGTAATACTGAATTTTATTTATTGGTTGAATGATTGATTGATTTCATTTACATCCAGTAAAATATTATGTAAAAATATTGTTTATCTATTTATTTGATTTCTAATTCATAGTATGAATTATATTTTTCTCTATTCAAAAATCTGACTTCATTTGGTAAATATTAGGAAAGTTAAGCAAGCTTAGTATGCGAATTTTTCTTACAACTTGCAGTTAGCTGCCTTTTAATTAATATTAATTCCATATTAAAGTGAATTGTCCTAGATCAGATCTTGTGACAACAGAAATCTCAATCAATAGAAAAATCAGACAAGGTTACACTTTTGTGTCACTATGCCTTAATTTGCATGTAATTCTATATGTTTCATACCAGAAAAATATAGCCATCAGATTATTTCTTTCAGATTAAAGCACAATAAAAGGGTTGACAATCAATAAGCAAAAGAAATTAAAGGCATGACTTAAGCATAAACAAAATTCTCTAAATCTAGCTAAATCAATTTTTCACCTATACCATTCACTTTATTTTTATTTATTTATTTCTTTTTTGCATTTTGTATTTGCTTCTAGTTTAGTTTAGTTTAGTTTAGTTTATTTAAATTTCTACCCCGCCCTTCTCCAAACGGACTCAGGGCGGCTTACAGCCATTTAAAACAAGTACATAATACAAAAATACTAAATTTAAAATGTAATTAAAATAGAATATTAATTATTTGGCCTTTTCTTGTTAAAATTATTTAAAACCAAATTAAGATAACCCTTAGGCCAGTCCTGCTAGCTTAAATAGCCATGTCTTGAGGGCGTGGCGGAAGGAGGGGAGATCCGGAATCACCCGGATCTCTGGGGGTAGTTCGTTCCATAGGGTGGGGGCTCCCACCGAGAAGGCCCTCCCCCTGGGGGTCGCCAGCCGGCACTGTCTGGCTGATGGCACCCTGAGGAGACCCTCTCTGTGGGAGCGTATCGGCCGATGAGAGGTAATCTGAGGCAGAAGGCGGTCTCGGAGATAACCAGGTCCGATGCCATGGAGCGCTTTAAAGATGATAATCAACACCTTGAAGCGCACCCGGAAGGCTACCGGCAGCCAGTGCAGCTCGCGCAACAGCGGCGTTACATGGGAGCGACGAGTCACTCCCATCACCGCCCGTGCAGCTGCATTCTGGACTAACTGGAGCCTCCGAATGCTCCTCAAGGGGAGCCCCATGTAGAGAGCATTACAGTAGTCCAGGCGGGAGATGACAAGAGCATGGGTGACTGTGCGCAAGGCGTCCCGGTCCAGAAAAGGCCGCAACTGGTGAACCAGGCGTACCCGGTAAAACGCCCCCCTGGCCACGGCCGTCAACTGGTCTTCTAGTGTCAGCCGTGGATCCAGGAGGACACCCAGATTGCGTGCCCTCTCCAAGGGAGCCAAAGTTTCGCCCCCTATAGTCAGCGATGGAGTCAGATGACTATGCTGGGAGGCCGGCAACCACAGCCACTCAGTCTTGAAAGGGTTGAGCCTGAGTCTGTTTCTCCCCATCCAGACCCGTACGGCCTCCAGGCACCGGGCCATCACGTCAAGGGCATCATTGGGGTGGCCTGGGGTGGAAATGTACAGCTGAGTATCATCAGCATACTGATGGAAATCCACCCCAAAGCCACGGATGATCTCACCCAGCGGCTTCACATAAATATTGAACAGTAGGGGGGAGAGGACCGACCCTTGTGGCACCCCACAAGTTAGGGGCCTTGGGGTCGACCTCTGTCCCCCCGCCAATACAGACTGCGTACGGTCGGTGAGGAAGGAGGAGAACCACTGCATAACGGTGCCTCCCACTCCCAACTCCACCAGGCGCCGCAGCATGATACCGTGGTCCACAGTATCAAAAGCAGCTGAGAGGTCCAAAAGAACTAGGACAGAGGAATAACCCCTGTCCCGGGCCCTCCAGAGATCATTCACCAGTGTGACCAATGCCGTTTCCGTGCTGTATCCCGGCCTGAAGCCCGACTGGAGTGGGTTCCAGATAGACTGTTTCCTCCAGGCGCCGGGGGAATTGCTGCGCCTGGAGGAAACCACATCCATAGACCAATTCATATACTGTCTTTTCTTCTTTAAATTTCTCAACTCCCTCTTTCTGAGGATCTCATCAATTCTATCCAATACAAGTTTTCCATCATCCAGATGCTTTCAATTCATTCATTATTTCTTTAGATGTTTGAAATGAAATTCAATCCTCATTTATTTTCTCACTATAGATCAATCATGGACAATGTATTCTCTTAGAAATTTAGAAATTCATGTATTATTACATAATTTTCCATCCAGAAGTAAATGCTAATTGCAAAAGTACTACATTACTATGGTCAGTTCATTGTTTTAATGGAATAGGGCAGGCAAAGATAAATATATGCCTAAATATGAATTGACAAATAGATATCTCTTAACTAAACTTTCCCCCCTTTTTTGAGAAGTCAAATCTATGTTTTAAAACCAGCAGAATGTCTTGAAAAGAAATACAATAGATCACTTTCATTGGCCTACTTTGATGCATTGCATGTCAAACTGAACATTACTATCCACATCTCAGGAAATACTGCAACAAAACTCATTGAAATTTGTTGCTATTATTGTTCAATAATCTCAATGAATTCCAATATGTGTAAAGCAATAATATTCTCCAGGGTCTTTTAAGTACTGAAAGAGGACACAATGAGTTTATGACACAACATATGTTGTAATAATATGGCTGAGAAATAAACTAATTTGTCTACCTATAAACTTTATCATATCAAGTAGGCTATTTTTTTTGTATACATTTTATTAGTTTTTAATAGGGTTAGGAATGAGGTGGGGTTGGGGTTGGAGTTGGGATTTGGGTTAGGGTTAGGATTAGGGTTGGGTTTGGGGTTTTTCCAAATAACATTCTCAATATTTAGCAAACAGCATAATGTCTGAGTTCATGTGTTTAACAAACAATAATAGATAATAGTTAATTATCATAAACAATATGTTAATTAATCGCTCGATAGTCTTCTTCTTGCTAATATATATTCAAAGTTACATATCACATTCCTTTCTCTCTAACTCATTTTTTTAGCCATCGATAGAAATTATCCCATGTTCTAAAATACACTGAGTCTTCTTTCTCTTTTATCTTTAAAGTCAATCTATCCATTTCTGCACACTCTAAAATTTTCTTAATTAGTACTTCTTCAGCTGGTAAATTTTCATTTTTCCAATGTTGGGCAAACACAATTCTTGCTTCAGTTAGTATGTGTAAAAGTAAATAATTTGCTCCTATTATTCCTAAAAAAATAATTCTGGCTTAAATCTATTTGTTTTTTAGCCATTTTCTCCAACCATAAGTGTATTTTTAATCAAAATATTTTTGGTTTAGGGCATGTCCACCAGATATGGTAATAAGTACCTGGTCTTTGTTTGCATTTCCAACACTTGTTTGAAGTATTTTTAAACATTTTTGCTAATCTCACTGGTGTCATATGCCATCTGTAAAACATTTTATATAAGTTTTCTTTATATGCCACTGCTTTAGTTATTTTAACTTTTTTTTTCCCATAACTTTTGCCAGTTTTCTAATTCTATATTATATCCAAAGTTCTTTGCCCATATTATCATTGTTTCTTTTACTTGTTTTTCCTCCATCTTTAAGCTTAACAGATATTTATAGAGTTTCTTAATCAATTTTTCATCTGTTTTTAATAGTATCTGATCAAATTCTTTCTGTTCTTTATAGAATCCCATTGTTTTAGCATCTTTTTCATATCTCATTTGAATTTGCAGATATGGCCATCATGCAAGATCAATTCCTTGTTCTTGTAAATCTTGTCTGTCTTTCAATTTTCCTTCATTGTCCAAAATATCTTTATAGGTCACAACTTTATCATAGTTAATTAAATTTGGGCAAGCAAAAGCTTCCATTGTTGAAAGCCATCCAGGTATCTTAATAATTTTTTTCTTTTATTTTTTCTCATTCTGAAAGAAGTGCATTTCTTATAAAATGGTTTTGAAAGTATCTATGTATTTTATTCTTCCCATACCACAGAAAGGCATGCCAACAAATTTGTAGGTCATGTCCCTCTAGTATAATAGTCTTTTGTCTCTAAGCATTATCCATTGTTTAAGCCATGTTAAAATAGTTGCTTGGCAGTATAACATCCAGTCCGGCAGTCCAAATCCTTCCCTTTCTTTCGCTTCTTGTAGCATTTTCAATATAATTCTAGCTTTTTTTCCTTGCCAGATAAATTTCAATATTGTTGTATTCAATTCATCAAAAAGGCTTTTCCCAGCCTTACAGGAATTGTTTGAAATAAAAAGAGTATTTTTGGTAAGATACTCATTTTCACTGTTGCATTTTCCGCTTTTCCATATCCAATTTTATTTGTTTTAGCAGTCTTACATAGTTATCTTCTTTTATTGTTACACATCTTGCTGTTAGATAAATTCTCAAATATTTAACTTTTTTAACTATTTGAAGATTTGGGTTTTTTTGCTAGTTGATTTTTTTGTTTTTCTGTTAGATTCTTGTTAGCACTTTAGTCTTTTCTTGTTTATTGTTAACCCTGCCACTTCTCCAAATTTTTCTATTTTCTCCATAAATTTAGTGCTTGTTTTCAATGGTTCTTCCAATATGAAAACCAAATCATTTGCAAATGCTTGTAGTTTATATTTTTCATCTTTTATCTCCAGTCATTTAATTTCTATATCTTGTCTAATATTTCTATTCAATACTTCCAGTGTTAGTATAAATAGTAATGGAGATAGTGGCAGTGGTGAGATTCAGCCAGTTTACACCACTTCGGCAGAACCGGTAGCTATTTTTTTGTTGCCCAGGCCCAGAATGGACTTCCAGAAGGAGCATCCACACAGAGAACCAGTTGTTCACATATTTGAATCCCACCACTGGATAGTGGGCATCCCTGTCTTGTGCCTTTTTTAATGTTAAAGTTTTCTGTAAGATCTCCATTTATAATTATCTTGGCTGTTTGTTTACAATAAATTGTTTTGATTACATTTATATAAAAAAAATTCCAAAATCCGTTTCCACAAGTTGCTGGAACATGAATTGCCAGTTTACATTGTCAAACGCTTTCTGTGCATCAAGGAATATTAAAGCCAGCTGTTTCCCTGAATGAATTTCATAGTACTCTAACACATCAAGAATCATTCTTAAATTATTTTTTATCTGTCTTTTAGGTATAAAACCATTTTGGTCTGTATGTATAAATTCAATCAAAAATTTCTTTAGTCTTTCTGTTATTATTGAGGCGAAAATTTTACAGTTTACATTTAATAGTGATATTGGTCTATAGTTTTTTATTTGCATTAAATCAGAATCTTCTTTGGGCATTAAAGTAATGTTGGCTTCAGTCCATGTATTTGGTATTTTAGCCTTCAGGAGTATTTCATTACACAGTTCTTTCAAGATCGGACTTAATACATCTTGTAATGATTTATAAAACTCTGCAGGTAATCCATCTGGATGAGGAGTCTTATCATTTTTTTGCCTTTTTATAGCTTCTATAATCTCTATCACTGATATTTTTCCATTTAATATATTTTGAATATTCTCTGAAAATTTTGGTAAGTTTGCTTTTTTTAAATACTGCTGTATTTTTTCTTCTGGAATTTCTTCTGCATTGTAAAGGGTTACAATGTTTCTTTAATGTATAGAGCTATTCCTCTTTTCTTTTTAAGTGCTAATGCAAAGTGAAGTTTACCAATTTTCAGTTGTTCTAACAACTTATAATGTTGTCTTTAATGTGTGTTTCTTGTAGACAAATTATATCCATTTTTAATTTTTGTAATTGTATAAAGATTTTTCTCATTTTTGAAGGAGAATTTAGTCCATTTATATTCATTGAAAAAATCCCACTCTCCTTCCTTTCTTTCAATTATATCTAGATCTTAATCTTCTAGTCAATCTTATCTGTCTCTGATCTCTTGGTCTTGCTCCTTCTTCTGTATGTGGTTTTAATTTATTCCTCCTCTCTTGGTTTGACTGCTCCTTCTACTGCCATTTTTTCCTGTTTCTTTGTTTCTCTCTTTGTACTGGATTCAGACTCACCTCCTTCCAAAAATGTTCTATGATTGTCGAAGAATTCCATTGCTTTAAGTGGCATATCCAGTCTATATCTTTTCGTATCCCAGTAGATTAAAATCCCTTCTGGAAGTAGCCATCTGAAATTCACTCCTTTTTCAATTAATTTCCTAGTTAGAAACTGGTATTCTCTTTGGGATTCTCTTATTTTCCTAGGAATTTGTTTGAGGACTACAGTTTCTTTTTCTTTGTATTTCAAAGGTTCGTCTCTTACTCTTCTCAAAATCTCATCTCTTGTAGATCTTTTAAGAAATCTAACATGTATTTCCCGGCAGACTTTATTTCTTCTAGCATAGTTTGAGTTGACTCAATAGATCTGGTCTAATTCTAATTTCATTTGCTGTTTCCCAGTTCCTAATGGGTCTGCCAATAATTCTGTTATCAAGTCTAGGAGATCCTCTTCCTTATCTTCCATTATATTTTGAAATCTTAAAAAGTATGAGGCTCTTTCCATCTCCATCCCAGCTATCGAGTCTTCTAGTTCTTCATTTATTTGGATCAACTTCTGATTTTAATCTTTTAAAACTTCTAGTTTCTGGTCAACCTCAGTTGATTTATCTTCTATTTTTTGGATTCTTTTTTGATTATCTGTGATCATCTGTTTAAAATTTTCAAATTGAGAGTCCATATTGTTAATTTTTTTATTCATTTTATCAAAATCACTTTTCAACTCCTCATGGTTTCTCATTGTGACCGCCATGTGAGTAGCGATTGCCTTTTGAATTGCTTGTAGAGTCGCTTGAGTTTCCTTTTGGAAGTTATTAGCCTTTTCTTATTGAAGCATTGTATCAATTGATCTCTGGTAAACTGGACTTGCAGAAGCCAAAAAGGGAGTAGAATATCCTTTTTTTCCAACTTTAGATAGGTTGGAGGCGCTCATCTTTATCTTTAAATCATACTTTGTAATCCACCAAGTAAGTCAAAATTTATAATCCAATAGGCTCCTAACAAATAGGAGAGATAAATAATAAAAATAGTAAATGGTAAAAAAGAACAAAAGGGAAAAAAGAAAAAAAAATATACCAAAATTTGTAAACCAAAGTATTCTGTTCGAAGGGATTTCTTATTATTCACTCTTTCAAAACAGCTTGTAAAAATTCCAGGTCAAGCTGTATTTGTAATTCAGGGAAGTCTGATGACTTCAAACACAGTTTTTATTTATAATTGTAATCTATCCTGTAGGACAGGGCAATCCAAAAAAGAGTCTTTTCTTTTTCAGCCACAATCTTCAGGACTATAAATTCCAAGGACACCAAAATGTTTAAACTATAGGCTATGTCTGAGCATACAGCCAAGTTTTAAGGCTCCAATCAAAACAACTCAGTAAGATAAAGAAAAGAGAAAAAAATACAAAATTAAATGTAGTTCTGAGTTTTGCAAGTAGGTGTCATTAGATGTCCATTCCTACCATACTTTAAAAAAGTTTAAAAAGTTAAAACCTGATGGGTTCCAAAAAAATAAAATTTAAAAAAAGATTTATAAATCCAAACGTTTCCCCAATTTATCCTTCTTTTATGCCTTAGTTATCTTCACAATATTGTTATAAATCAGTTTTAATTCCCCCAAAGCTTTAACTGCTGCTTATAGTTCAGGAGGGAGGGCTAAAAAAAAGGCCCCCCTCCCTGAAGCGTGGGATTTCTTGCTTTGGAATGCTTTTTCCCAGAACCGGTATTTTCACTTGTAGAGAGAAAAGGAAAGTTGTCTCACCCAGATCAGTTTGCCTTCCGCTTTTAAAATTTGTTGTCTCCGACAATCAGCTGCTTCTGGCAGACCGCATGGGTGCAGTCAGCCTTTCTTCCTGCTGGTCCTGAGGGCTCCTTTAGATCAAGCGGGCCAGGTACCACTGGCCCACAATCTGCAAACTTTCACCCTTTGGCCAGTCGCCTCTATGGGGCGACTTTCAGTCCTATTGGACTCCCCAGCTAGTAGAAATCAGACTTGGGGAAGGGAGCTTCATTCTCCAGTGCCCATCTTGCAGTGATGTCCTCAAGTAGGGTATTCTGATCTGCCTTTACTACTTTATCATCAGATGTTGAATTGACTGCTTAACTTTAAACATTCTATACTTGTTTTGAAAATGCCTACAATTTGTTATAAAATTTTCTAATGGGCCCATTGGACAAGCAGTTTCAAAATCCCTCCTCCAGACATTCTTTTCCTCTTTTATTTCTAGGTGCAACCTATTTCTGCATGCAGTCAGAGTTGTTTTCCTGGTTTTAGCAAAAAAATGAAGGAAGGAAAACCATTTTGCTGCTATGATTGCATCCCTTGTCCAGAAGGGAGAGTTTCAACTGAGATTGGTAATCTAAGTTCTTCATTATTATAACCTAAATTTATATAAATGTACTTTCATCTGAACTGTGGTTCATCTGAGCCTTGGTGGCACAGTGCTTAGAATGCAGTACTGCAGGCTAATTCTGCTCACATTGCCAGGAGTTCGATTCCTTCGATCCTGACTGGCTCAAGGTTGACTCAGCCTTCCATCTTTCCAAGGTCGGTAAAATGAGGACCCAGATTGTTGGGGGCAATATGCTGACTCTGTAAACTGCTTAGAGAGTGCTGTAAAGCACTGTGAAGTAGTATATATGTCTAAGTGCTATTTAAATATGATATATAGAAATTACAAATTTTATGAGGTAAACTAATAGATTTAATTCACCATATACATTAACCTAACCCATTCCACAATTACATACATCCAAATGAAGAGGAATAAAGGAGATTCATGTTGGAAACATCAAAGAATAAGACATAGCGTTATTTATTAAGGCAATCTGGAAGGAAAAATAAGAAATATAAATTTTAATGGTCAGAATATATATGCTAATAATTGTTTTAAAACAAGATATTTTTTACTTTAGTAAAGCAAAGGGACATATTACTATAGATTTAGCCTGACTTTGGTTTCATATTTTCTCTCTTATTTACTTACATAAAATCTAAATTTAATTCTTAATAAAATCTAAAAAATATGGGTATTTTGAAATCAGCCAAATGAAGGTGGCTCCTGTGAGCACTGAAGGCTTTCCATATCAAAATCTTAAAAGTCTAAGTTTCCCTTAGAATTATAATAATAGCATACTGATGAATTTATGATTTGCATGTTAAATTAACATTACATCTCTGTTTCTTTCAGACAGAAGTGAATGTTCTAAATGCAAAGAAAAAACCTATCCCAACAAGAAAAGGAACTTCTGTATACCCAAAATAATTAGTTTCTTGTCTTATGAAGAACCTTTAGGGTTCAGTTTAGCCTCTTTTGCACTTTCCGTTTCTTTGACCACAATTCTTGTGCTAAGTGTATTTATGAGAAACCACAACACTCCCATAGTCAAAGCTAACAACCGGGATCTGACCTACACTCTCCTCATCTCCCTCCTGCTCTGCTTCCTTTCAGTGCTACTATTTATTGGCCAGCCTGGAAAAGTGACCTGTCTTCTCCAGCAAACAACTTTTGGAATGGTTTTCTCAGTGGCTGTTTCTTCTATTTTAGCAAAAACCATCACAGTGGTTCTGGCTTTCATGGCCACCCAGCCAGGATCTAGCATGAGAAAATGGGTGGGAAAAAAGTTAACTAATTCCATTGTTGTTTCCTGCTCCCTGATCCAAGCAAGCATCTGTATTTTGTGGCTGGCAATCGCTCCCCCTTTCCCAGATGTTGATATGATCTCAGTCACTGAAGAAATTATTCTGAAATGTAATGAAGGCTCTGTGACTATGTTTTATTGTGTTCTTGGCTATATGGGTTTCCTGGCTCTTGTCAGTTTCACAACAGCTTTTCTTGCCAGGAAATTACCTGACAGTTTCAACGAAGCCAAGTTCATCACCTTCAGCATGTTGGTCTTTTGCAGTGTTTGGTTGTCCTTTGTCCCAGCATACCTGAGTTCCAAAGGGAAATACATGGTGGCTGTGGAGATTTTCTCTATTTTAGCATCTGGTGCTGGGCTTCTATTTTGTATCTTTTCTCCAAAATGTTATATCATTGTGTTCAGAGCTGAACTGAACAACAGGGAACAACTAATAAGAAGGAAAGACTGATGGAAATAAGTGTTTTGTCCTTTGTCAAAGTTTAAAATCTAGATTTCTTTGTAGGCACTGTAAAATGTTTACAAAAATGTCTCTCTTAGCTTCTGATTTATATAAATTTCCTCTATTCTCCAAAACCTCTTATTTTTTTATTTATAAAAGTTAATTAAATTTTAAATAACACATCATGATCCTGCAAACTATGCTTGTTCTATTTTATTTTCTTGTAGCATCCTTTTCTTAAAGCACATTCATTTTTAATTAATATCTTGTTAGAATAGCTAATAAGAACAAACTCTCAGCAGTCATTGTGAACAAGTCATCAGGCATAGATCATAGGGTATATCTTTGAAATAAAAGAAAAAGAAACTAGAGTGCTAACTGGTGTGGTGGGAAAAAATGAGAAGGCTACCAATGGGTGTGGAGTCAGATTACAGCTGCCTGTGCATCCTTGACTAGCAGTCAGTAGTGCAACACAACAACAACAGAGGAAAAACCTCTTAACCTCTTTTAAATACATTTTGACATTTGGTGACTGTTCCCTACAGTATTCTTGGAGCATTTTCAGGAAGTGGCTTGCCAATTCCTTTTTCCTGTGGCTGAAACATTTGGTCCAAGATAGCCCAACTTTGTGCCAAGGGTAGGAACTCGCCACACCCTGGTTTTTAACCTGGTTACTTAATCAGTGCAACAACTGACTACAACAACAGAGGTTTGCTGCCCTGTGCTGTGTTTGGAAGAGAACACATCTCCCTACAAAATAAACAACATGAAGTAAAGGTGATTTAGGACAGTTGTAGCGTCCCGACAAAATGTGATCTCCTTTTGCAACCTTCTGACAAGCAAAGTCAAGGGGGAAGCCAGATTCACTTAAAAACCATGTTACTAACTTAACAACTACAGTGATTCACTTATCAACTATGGCAATAAAGGTCATAAAATGGGGCAAAATTCACTTCACTGTCTCACTTAGCAACAGAAATTTTGGGCTCAATTGTAGTCATAAGTCAAAGACTACTTATATCTCCCTTGAAATCAGTATGTAATCAGTGTGTGATCTGATTATGTTGAGAATATGCCTCATCTGCTTTGCTCTTTAGATTGCTTAAGGGTGTTTGTGCTGCAAAACTGAACATAGACTGTTGCCATACACAGACAATACCTTATTCTTTTTTAACTATCAAAATCTTTACCCTGATTTGTGGAAACGGTATAGTAATATGGTAAATACTTTCAGTATACAAAAATTGAAATAAGTCTAATATTATATCAACATTAAAAGTGCCCTAATAATTTTTTTATTAGATTAAAAGGTTGTATTAAATACTTGAAGATAATTATTTTTGCAGGACTCTTAGTAAGGCCTTCTCGATAGTACTACTCTCCTACAGAATAGCTTGCCTTTTTCTGTAGGAGCCAATACCTCACTGATGGATTTCTGCAGAAATATGAAGAAAGTCTTTGTGTGAGGGGTCCGTGGTGCTCTCTGAGCTTGCTTGTTTTCTTGAAAACATTTCATTACCCAAACTAGGTAACATCATTAGTGCTAGTAAGGAGTGCTTGGGTTTGCAGAATATAGACTGGCTCTTTTCCTACCCCCCTCTGTCAGCTCTACCTCTTAATGGTCTTGAACATCCAAACATTGAAGTTTTCTCTTGCTGTGGGAAGAGTACTGCTGAGATGCTTGCCTTTGAGTTGGAGTTTCTTTTCCCCACATCTTTGCTGTACTCTGGACTTGATTCTTTTTCTCCACACACATGCTTGTTTTCAGTTTCCTTTTTATAAAGCTCTCCAGTTAAGGAGAGGCTGGGACTATTTAAACTCTCTTTCCTAAGTAGCACCAAAGCTCTGAATCCCAGTAGGGAAAAAAATGCCTGCTCACTCTAGGTCATGAGTTCACTCTTGCACATATACATGCATACATTTATCCATTAAGATATATTAAATAAAAGGAGATATCAAGGGATGAGTGAAGATGCCTATGAGTCCACCAGGAAGAATAAATTTAAATGGATATAGGTTCCAGATTGGTATATATTAGGGTTTTTAAGAAAAAGTATTGGGATGAAAATGCAATTGGACATGTACCGTACTTTTAGTAGTTCAATGGGGGAGTTGTTCTTTCTCACATCCTATGCCAAGGACATTGGGCTACAAGCATACTCCACAGTTCTTGGTCCACATCAACAATCTCCTCATTCTTCCACTTAAGGGTGATGTTTTTCAGATCTTCCTGAAATGTTTGGCACCAGGTTTTCTTTTTTCTTCCTCTTTTTCTCTGACCATTTGGTGGTATCCAAATGATTGTAGTCTTTGTTAGATGTTGCCCACTCATGCGGAGCACATGTCTGGCAAAGCACATTCTTATTCAGCAACTGGAGATCCTAGCAAATACTTGTGACTTCATTCCCTTAATTCTTATCTTGAAAATATTTTTATATCAAACTAGTTCTTACTATATATTGTTGCGCATAAAAGTCTTAAATGCTTATATACAAATGCTCAAAGCTTGGGGAACAAACAGGGCGAACTAGAAGCAACAGTACACGAGGGAGAGTATGACATAGTTGGCATAAACAGAAACCTGGTGGGACAAAACCCATGAATGGAATGGACTGATGGAGGGATACAAATTGTTCAAAAGAAACAGGTCTACAAAAAGAGGAGGGGGAGTACACTACATGTAAGAGAACACTACATATCTACAGAAATGCAAATGATCCAAGATAAAATCTCTACAGAATGTATATGGGTCAATATAAAAGAGAAAAAAAGTGACATTACCATAGATGTATATTACAGGCCACCCAACCAATCAGAAGAAATAGATGAACTCTTTGCCAACCAGTTAACAAATGTATATAGGAAGCATACCACGGTAGTAATGGGAGACTTCAACTATCCAGATATCAAGCGGGAGACAAACTCTGCAATGAGCAGGAGATCAAACAGATTCCTAATCAACCTAGATGATAACTTTGTCATCCAAAAGGTGGAGGAGGGAACTAGACGTAAAGCCATACTGGACTTAATTCTAACTAATAGAGAAGAAGTGATAGAGGGAGTTGAAGTTGCTGGAACCTTGGGCAAAAGTGACCATGTCATACTGGAATTTAGTATAATGCAAACACTAGCAACAGAAAAAAATCCAACCAATGTCTTGAACTTCAAAAGAGCTGACTTTAACAAACTCAGAGAGAACCTAGGAAAGATCCCATGGATGAAAATCCTAAAGGGGAAAACAACCCAAGAAGTGTGGGAAACTCTGAAAAATGTGATCATAAAAGCTCATATCAGCACAATACAACTGAAAAAGAAAAACAAGAAATTCAAGAAGAAACCAGCATGGCTGCACAAAGATCTCTCCGAAAAACTGAAAGACAAAAAGGAAAAATACAAAAAATGGAAAGAGGGGCACATAACTAAGGCTGATTATCAGCAGACAGCCAGAACATGCAAAGATGAAGTCAGGAAAGCAAAGGCTCAGAACGAACAAAGACTTGCAACAGAAATCATGGATAATAAAAAAAAAGTTTCTTCTAACATATTAACAACAAGAAAAACGTCAAGGAAACTGTAGGTCCACTAAAGACAGAAGATGGCAAGGAAATAACAGGCAACACGGAGAAATCAGAGCTGCTTAACTCATACTTCGCACAAATAGAAACTATAGCCCAACATACCCCCCCCAAAAAAGCACTGCAAAAGACAAATTAGAAACAAAAACTAAAATAAGCAAGAAAATGGTAAGAGAACACCTATCCGGCCTTGATGAATATAAATCATTGTGGCCTGACAGATTACATCCCAGAGGTCTGAAGGAGCTGGCAGCTGTTATCTCAGAACTACATCTTTCAAAAATCCTGGAACACCGAGGAAGTACCTGAAGATTGGAAAAGGGCTGATGTGGTTTCCATCTTTAAGAAAGGGGGGGGAAATGGACGCAGGAAATTACAGACCAACCAGTTTAACATCAATACCTGGGGAGATCCTAGAAAAGATAACCAAAAAACAGATCTGCAAACAACTAGAACAAACAAAGTTATACTGTAACTAGTAGCCAGCATGGGCTTTTAAAAAGCAGATCATGCCAAACCAATCTTATTTCATTCTTCGACAAGGTAACTAAAATAATAGACCAGTGAAATACTGTGGATGTAGTATACTTAGACTTCAGTAAGGCATTTGATAAAGTAGACCACAACCTACTCTTTGGTAAGATAGAAAAAGGTGGAATAGACAACATCATCACCAGATGGATCTGTAGCTGGCTAGCAAACCATACTCAACAAATAGTCCTCAATGGCACTACATCCACATGGAGAGAAGTAAGCAATGGGGTACCACAAGGTTCCATCTTAGGCTCAGTACTCTTCAATATCTTCATCAATGACTTCGATGAGGGAATTGAAGGGGAACTCATCAAATTTGCATATGACACCAAACTGGCAGGAGTAGCCAACAGCCCAGAAGACAAACTCAGGATCCAAAAAGATCTTGACAAACTTGAACAATGGGCCCTATCCAACAAAATGAGTTTCAATGTGGAGAAAAGCAAAGTTTTACATTTAGGCATGAAAAATCAAAGGGACAAGTACAGATTGGGCAAGACCTGGCTTAAAAACAGTAACCGTGAGAGGGACCTTGGAGTTCTAGTGAACAATCACTTAACCATGAGCCAGCAGTGTGCAGCAGCAGGCAGAAAAGCTAATACAATCCTGGGTTGTATAAACAAAGACATAGAATCAAGATCATGCAAGATATTAGTACTGCTTTATAAAACCCTAATGAGACCACACTTGGAATACTGCAGCCAGTTTTGGTCACCATATCACAAAAAAGATGTCGAGAGTTTGAAAAAAATCAGAGAAGAGCAACTAAGATGATCAAAGGCCTGGAGACTAAAACATATGAAGAATGGCTGCAGGATTTGGGTTTGGCTAGTCTAAAGAAAAGAGGAAATAGGGGAGACATGATAGCAGTATTCCAGTATTTGAGGGGCTGCCATAAAG